TAGTGGGATTGACCGTCACATTATAACGCCCCACTGCTGAAAGAGCAAGCATGTTTGGTGGGACGGGGATTGCAAGTCGAGCTCCTTAACCACCTGGCCATGCCGGACCCACAAAGCAACTGCATTTGGTCTTGTAGTTTCATGATTTTGAAAGAATGGTTCTGTTACAGTTTCATATATATATATATACATCAAACAACAACAAACGCTTATACATTTTTCTTTGGTGTTTGTCAGGGAAATTTGGTCATTTAATGAAACCAGAAAACTTGAAAAATAAAAAAAACCAAACCACAATAAATGTAGTCTAAAAATCCTAGTTCTATCGGAATTTTCTTTTTTTTAGAGGTGAATCAAGGTGAAATGTTACGTTAAACCCTGTGTGATGTAACATCACAGCACGGTGTTAATACTTAAACACACTATTCTTAGCTGTCCCATTGTATAATATCCATTTTTCAAAGGTAAATCAAGGTGAAATGTTACGTTAAACCCTGTGTGATGTAACATCACAGCACGGTGTTAATACTTAAACACACTATTCTTAGCTGTCGCATTGAATAATATCCATTTTTCAAAGGTAAATCAAGGTGAAATGTTACGTTAAACCCTGTGTGATGTAACATCACAGCATGGTGTTAATACTTAAACACACTATTCTTAGCTGTCCCATTGTATAATATCCATTTTTCAAAGGTAAATCAAGGTGAAATGTTACGTTAAACTCTGTGTGATGTAACATCACAGCACGGTGTTAATACTTAAACACACTATTCTTAGCTGTCTCATTGTATGATTTCCTTTTTCTTAAACCTACTGTGTGATGTAACATCACAACACGGTGTTAATACTTAAGTATACTACTCTTAAGTGTCCCACTGTATGGTTTCCTTTTTTTCAGAGGTGAATTAAGGTGAAATGTTACATTAAACCTACTAGGTGATGTGTTAATAGTTAAGCACACTGTTCTTAGCTGTCCCATTCTACTATTCTATGATAGCTAGTGAAGTTATGATGTAAACTACCAGAGAAGTTCAAAACGTTAACAACCGATAAAAAAC